GACGGAGCATCAGAAATGAATCCTTCCTGCAGGAACAGAGGAAACACCTCAAGCTTCAGGGTCACATGATCACCTTGTTACAACTTCTGGAAGTTACAGCTCATTTAAAGAAACATATATTTTGTTGTTTGTTACATTTATGATCAACAGATTTTAAACTTCATTTTATTTTATTAAGTTATTTTGAGAAACTTCACCTGCACTTTAGTTTTTGTGGTGGATTTATTGATTTATATTTTGTGCAGACTTTTTCATCTAAATAACAGAAGGATCATTTTTATTTTATACTTGGAGACTGAATACTTCACTAAATAAAGCAATTGCAGTAAAATTACCCCTTGTTTTTTTTTAATTTTATATAATACTACAAAGCAACATGTAAAGTTAATTTTGTCAAATAACTATGTTTTTTTTTTTTTGTTATATCACTAAATGTATCGTTATCGTCAGAATGCTCTGAAATATCACGATATTATATTTGAGCCCTATCGCCCACCACTACAGATAAGTCACATCTCTCCAATTAAAGTGTCATTGCAGTGATTTTTTTTTCTTACAGTGATTGTCCTGGTTAGGGATTTACAAGTCTTAACAGCTTCAGGGTAGATGCTGTTCCTCAGTTTTGGCAGCATGAAGCTTGTTAGCCTGTCCAAAAAAAAGACAAAAATCCATAAATTAGCCGCAGCATTGAATAAGCTGCTGTGTTCAAAGCGTGTGAAAAAAGTATTAGCTTATAGACCATAAATTACAGTAATTCAGTTACAACAGATGTCTGTATGAGCAGCGTGTTCAAATCAGATTAAGTCATCATTTGTTTCTTGTTCAGTTTCCAAAAGATACAGGCCGGGATCTGTCGCCGGTCCTCACCCACGCAGAATGCTTTTCACAGTATTCTAAATGAAAGACAGCAGCCATTTTCAAAAAGCACAGGGGTCCCTTTGCTATCATTTGAATTAAGAAAATCACACTACTAGGTCCAGAGTTTTTAAACAATAAATCAAGTATTAGGCTGCTTGCTTGTAGTGCAAAAGATATAAAATGTAGTTTTAGCCTTATGTTTTAAACAAAAGAATATGTTAACAGTTTCCAGTCTTAATAAATGAAGAGCAACAGAGCAGCAACTGAAACACTTCACCTCCAAACCTCTAGAGGGCGCCTCCTTCTGCTTTAATGGAGCTGACACAAAGTGAGTCTGTGCCTTTGACCAGAGGGTCTCTCAGTAAAATCACACAACACAGAGATCTGTTCACAGACCAGAGAGCAGGTCTCTACAGATGACCAACGCTTTAACTTTAGATGGAAAACAACAAACTACACGGAACACAGCGTGTTGCGCATGCGTCAGAATACGGCAACACTACGGCAAGCCGGCTGGAGTTAGCTTGTAGCTTCGCTACTTAGCCCTTGAAGAAAAGACTTTAACACCACTTGTGAACAGTTTTCAACAAAAAGTAACGATTAAACTGACAGCTCTGATTTTACTTCAGACACAGCGTTACTGCTGTTAGCCGGTAGAAGACAGATCTCTATCGTAGGATAAATTTATGTCGTTTCTACAGATTATATCACGCATTCCTAATCTGAAGCCTCGTACACGGTTTAGGAACGTTGCCAGAGGTTTTCCAGTAATGATCAGAGCAGGCAAACACACTGAGCTGCTCTGTTTCCGTGTTCCTCCTCTTATTGTACGACCTTCCTTGTTGCTTCCTCTGTTTCCATCTCCAGAAGCCTGGAGTCCACGCATTTCCACCAGCATCCGTGTTGTCCGGACTTGCTGAGTTTAGTGTGCAGTAGCAGAACCAGGGCCCAGCAGGCCTCGGAGGAACGCACATCCCTGCCTGAGTTCATGCCGCGTGGTGGACAGACGTCATCTTCTGCTGTTTTGGTCAAAGAAAGTACATGAAGTAGCTGTGTAGGCCCATGCTCGGAGCACGTGAATGACTCTTCCTACCACGTTAGAGTTGAGCACTGTCACGTTCAGAGTTGTAACCAAGCTGGTGGAGGATGTACATGAGCTCAGGCAGCCATGTTCAGTTGGGCTCACTTTAAAAATGTACATGTAGCGAGTACCCCCTGAAGTTTGTACAATAATAATCAGATCATTTTATTTAACAGGTGCCTTTCAGGACACCCAAGGACACTTTACAGCTAGAAACAAATCAGATAAGATTGTGTTAAAACGGTGCAAAGACCAACGGGAATAAATTGAAATATAAAATACGTAAAGATATAAAATATATAAAACAAATCTAAAAAAGTTAAATCTGGTCCTCTGGACATTCAAAAAAACAAAACAAAGCAAAACAACAAAAAAATGTAGAAACGTTTCATCTCTCATCCTGAGGACTTCCTCAGTCTGAGGTGCTGTATTCAGCTCAGTCTCTTAA